GTTCTGTGTGCCTGAGCTGGTTCTGGGCTGGAGAAGGATTGTTCTGTGTGCTGAGCTGTGAGCAGAGCTGTGTGGAGCTCAGAGTTATTCACCAGTGCAGTGCAGAGCCTGGGAAACACGAGAGCTGAAACTGGAGGCACCATGTGCCCCGGGTGCCTGTGTCCTGTCCCTGCCTTTGAGTGATGTGACATTCACATTCTCTGGACAGAGAGACACAATTCTGCCTCTCAGGAGAAGCACAGAGAGAAGGAGAGAAAACAATCTTTATCTCTGCTCCTTTGTTTTCCCCCTGTGGAATGTGGTGTGGAGATTGTTTACCTGCAGTGATGGCTGGGTTGGATTCTGGTGAAGGGTGTTTGGGGTAAATGTGCAGTCAGACCCAGCTGTGGCACAGACTCTCAGCAGAGAAATCATGAGTTTGTTAGTTAGTTAGATAGGCAAGTAAGAAGTAAGTATGTAGAACAGGATAATCTCTCTTTAAATAGTATATTAATGTAATATGGTGTAGTTTTAATAAAGCTATCCTGATCTGGAGCCACACATCATCATTTCTTCCCTGATCCACGGTTCACCGCATTTTTTCTGTAGAGTGACACAGAGAACTCAGTGCTGAACTCACCCTCTCTCCTCTCATCCCACAGAATCCCTTACAGCTGCCACCTCCTCCCTTCCCACCTCTGTAAGGACCTGGAAGTGGCCAAAACGTGCCGCTGTGGGAGCGCCTGCCTGAGCAGCTTCATCCAGATCACCGTGACCATGAACCTGCACCACGTGGCCCACACCGTGGTGCTGGTGGACAACATGGGGGGCACGGAGGCTCCTGTGCTCTGCTACTTCTGCTCCCTGCACTGCTACTCCCAGTTCCTGGACATGCACCTGCAGAGCAGCGGGTGACAGGGGATGGAGGAGCCCGGAGGTGCCTGCTGCTCCTCACCCGCGGTGCCACCGCTGCCCTGCGCAGACAAATCCCTCTGGGGGTGAGGGGACACTGGCTCTGTCCCCCTCTGGGATCCCAAGCAGTGCTGAGCTGCAGAGAACCTTCCTTGGAATGTCCTTCCCGTGCTGCCGGGGTGTGCTGGGGGTTTCTGTGCCTTGTGGTGAGTGGTTCCCTCTCGGGAGGACAAAGAGCTCTGGCTCTCCAGGCCAGGACTGCTCTCTGCTCCTCCCAGGGAGGAGAAATCCCATCCACACCAGTCATGGAATGCCAGGTGCTTCTTTTTTTAAAGGTTCTGTTACAACATTCCCACTCGGAGCAGGGACAGCATTGCTGCCTTTTTACAGAGCAAATGTTTGGTTTTGGGGCTTCTCTCTTTGTGATACCATGAATGTCTTTTTTCTAAAACTTTGTTTCTTAATCCTCCTGTTTTAACGATTCTTGAATTTGTTTCACTGTGTTGACTTATTAAACTTTGAAACCCTTCTGTGGACGTGTGGATTGTGTTTTGTCTGAGGGCTTTTCCATCCAGGAATTAACTGCTGGTATTTTTCTGGGGATATCCACAAATTCTTTTATTTCCTGTCTTGTCAGCTGCTCCATGACTGGGAGATGGGAACAGCAGGGAACAAATAGTTGCGATTCTAGAATTAATCTGATTTTTTAATTCTTATATATAGGTTCATAATCCTAATCTTTGAAATCTAGAATTATTTTATTTTAAGAATCCCATTCCCTGGAACATGTGATGGCTTGGAGCACGTGGAGGTGGCACTGAGTGCCAGCTGGGGAAGGTTTAGTTTGGATATTGGGAACATTTCTTCATGGAAAAGGGGGTTTGCCACAGGGCACTGATGGAGCCCCCATCCCTGCAGGGATCTAGGATGGTTTTCTTATCTTGTTCTTGCAATTCTGGAATTATTTTACTCTTACCTTAATGTTGAAAACTTTGGAGTCATTTTATACTTGCTATTCTAGAATTAATTAATCTGATGTTTTAAATTCTTACCATTCAAGAACGGGTTCATAATCCTGATCTTCCAAATATAGAATTATTTTATTCTCTCAATCTTAGAATTTCTTTTTTTTCCATCTTAGAATTATTTTATTTTCCAATCGTATAATAATTTTACCTTATTCCTGCATTTCTAGAATGATTTCTCACCTTATTCTTGTCATTGCAGGATGCTTTTTAACGTGCTATTTTTCAAACCTAGCATTCACTCATTTTTATATGTTACTCGCGCGGATCCCGGCAGGTTTCCGTGTGTTTTCCTTGCATTTCCAGGGTTATTTTCCCTTTTTTTCCCCAATCCCGAAGGATTTGGCCGCCGCTTCCCGCCCTCCCCTTCAGGCCTTGGCCCCGCCCCCTCCGGGCGCCGCCCAATCAGAGCGCGGTGCGGCGGCGGCGGCTGCGCGGCCCCCCGGCGCGGCGGAAGCGCCGAGGAGTTGATTGACGGCTCCTCCGACCAATGGCGGCGGCGCGGTCGGCGCAGCGGCGGCCAATGGGGAGCGGCGACGTGTGCGCGCGGGGCGGCGGCGGCGCGCGCGCGCTGGGAGCGGGAGCGGCGGCGGCGGCGGCGGCGGCGGGAGCGGCGGAGCGGGGCCGCCGCCGCCGGGACCATGCGGCTGCGCGTCTACAAGCGCAAGGTGCTGCTGCTGGCGCTGGCGCTGGCGCTCTGCGCCCTGGCGCTCTGGGGCACCGGCGGCGGCGGGCGGCGGCGGCAGCAGCAGCAGCAGCAGCAGCAGCAGCAGCGGGGCGGTCCCGGTAGCACCGGGGAGCCGCCGCGGGTCAGCGAGCCCCCGCCGCCGGTAGCGCGCCGCCCCGCCGCCAACGCGTCGGCCGGCGTGGCGGCGGAGGTGCTGTCGGAGAACGCGACGCTGAGTTACCGCTCGCTCGTGTACCGGCTGAACTTCGACCAGCCGGTGCGGAACGCCGCGCGCTTCCCGGCGCGGCCCGACGTGGTGCTCGTGGTGCAGGTGCACGACCGCGCCGAGCACCTGCGGCTGCTGCTCGAGTCGCTGCGGCGGGCGGCGGGCGTGGAGAACGTGCTGCTGGTGCTGAGCCACGACCTGTGGGCCGAGGAGCTGAACCGGCTGGCGGCCCGCGTGGACTTCTGCCCGGTGCTGCAGGTGTTCTTCCCGTTCAGCATCCAGCTGTACCCGCGCGAGTTCCCGGGCCACGACCCCCGCGACTGCCCCCGCGACGTGGGCAAGGCGGCGGCGCTGCGGCTGGGCTGCATCAACGCCGAGTTCCCCGACTCGTTCGGGCACTACCGCGAGGCGCGCTTCGCGCAGACCAAGCACCACTGGTGGTGGAAGCTGCACTTCGTGTGGGAGCGCGTGCGGGCGCTGCGGGAGCACGCGGGGCCCGTGCTCTTCCTCGAGGAGGACCATTACCTGGCGCCCGACTTCTACCACGTCCTCAAGCAGCTCTGGGCGCTGCGCCGGCGCGACTGCCCCGAGTGCCAGCTCGTCTCGCTGGGCACCTACAGCCCCGTGCGGGGCGGCTTCGCCAGCCGCGCCGACAAGGTGGAGATGAAGACGTGGAAGTCCACGGAGCACAACATGGGCATGGCCTTCGGCAGAGACACCTACCAGAAGCTCATCGAGTGCACGGACGCCTTCTGCACCTACGATGACTACAACTGGGACTGGACTCTGCAGCACTTGACTGTCTCTTGTCTTCCAAAGTTCTGGAAAGTGCTGGTTCCCGAAATCCCCAGGATTTTTCACACGGGGGACTGTGGCATGCACCACAAGAAATCCTGCAGACCGTCCACCCAGAGTGCCAAAATCGATTCTCTCTTGAACAGCAACCAACAGTACCTGTTTCCCGAGGCGATGAGCATCAGTAAAAGGTACTCCATGGCTCCCCTGTCCCCTCACGTCAAGAACGGAGGGTGGGGAGACATCAGGGACCACGAACTCTGTAAGAGCTACCGCAGACTCCAGTGAGGATCCTCCTCGCAGCGCCTTTTCTCCCTGAGTTGTTCCATTGTGTCTTTTCCAGGCACACACGTGTATAAACAGCATTTATCAGTTGGTTTCTGCTTTAATATGAATAAACATTCTTGTTAAAGGTGTCCCAAAATAGTAATCTCTCATGTTTGGCAACCACGTTTTGGAAACGGGTGACGTGCTGCAGCCCCTACGCAAAAAGTGACCTGCTGCTGTGTTTGCTGGGAGGAGGAGGAGGAGGAGGAGAACACTTTTAAATGCATCTTTTTTGGTGCTTCAAAGCTCTGGTGGTGCCTGGGGTCCCACCTGGGGTCATTTCACGCCCAATCCCCGAGTCCCGGTTGCGCTGTGTCGATGAATATATGAAGGATGAAAAAAAAAATAAATGTCATTGTTTTTACTACAATGTAGATAAATATATGATTTTTTTAGTTCTGCCGAAATAAAAATTCCATTGTTTTGTAAGCCTAGAGAAGTTCTTGATTGTCAGCAAAAAGATGATGTCACCTCGTGTTCCTAAAAAGTCAGGAGGGGAAGGAGGGGGAACTTCTTTAATCCCGAGGGCTGGACATGTGCCATCACTCCTTCTAGCAGTGTGCATTTAACTTCATTAAGTTTTTAATGATACTCGTTAATTGAGGCAGAAAAGAGTAGCAAATTGGTGGCACAACACCTCTTTTGTTTGGATTTTTTTTTTTAAGTTGTTTCAAATTGGCTGTGTGAAAACTGCTGCTGTGTGGTGGGAAGGGGCTGAGCTGGGGCCACGAGCCATCTGTGAATGCTCCAGCAGCTTTAATGCCACTCCTCTGTGAACTCAGCTGTGGCAGAAGCACCTCAGCAGCTTTTGTAGAACACAGAAATACGTCTGAGAAAGAAAATGCTGCTTTTTTTCTTTTTCCAGGGGTTATTTAACCACAATTTTGCAAGGTAATTACTCTGTGCTCTGTTCCACTGGGTTGGGGCTGGTGCTGAAGCTGTGCTGGTGCCTCACCCTCAGAGCCTCTCCCAAAAAGCTGCTGGGGTTAAGCTGAGCCCAGCAAAGCTCGGGCAGGATGTGCCACCAAGCACCTCTCGAACAAAACCAAGTTGGTTCAGCAACAGTGAAAAAGGGGAACAGGAAGTTTATTATTAGAATTTCTCTGTTCTCTTGGTTATTCTGCTTTAGGGAGGTGAGAAATACTGAAACTCGAGGGAAACGGAGAAAAATAAATCAAATCTGGATAAAGAGAATCCATTTCACCAACTGTAAATACTTCAGAGCAGACGTGCACCCAGAGGATGTTCTTGTGCAATGGAATTTGTTCAGCTGGGGGATATCTGGGTGCTGCAGATCTGAAGCACAGCACTAGGATGGAATACAGGGTATAAATGTTGATTATTTCTAGGAGACTAATTAGAACTTCTCCGGGTAATTAGAAATTTCATTTGATTGCTAAGAATCACTGTGAGTCTAATCCTGCAGTTATCACAAAATGAAAGGTTTGGAAAATGATGACTACTGCTCAACTCCCAAGGGAGCCATTAGACCGAGGATATATACAAATAATCCCTGAAACGTGGGAAGAAAATAAAAAATTTATGTAAACAATAAGATACATTTTTTTTTCCAGGAGCTCAGAGTCACCTCCAACTTTTCTTGTAAGTAAAATTATTGCCATAGATGTGATTAGAAAATTGTTAAACTGTTAACAATGAAAAGTTTTGGCGTTGCACCGGTTTTAGTGGGAATGCACGGCCTCCATGTCATCCACCAGCACATGGAGCTGCAGCAAACAACAGGAGGAAATCCTAAAACAGAGCAAGCATCAAACAGCAGAAGGAAACGCTGAAACAATGCACTAATCCAGCTGGAAGAGCAGCGGGCTGTGGAACTCCACGGGGCAGCGCGTTCGGTGGTCGCGGAGGATGCGCACGCTGCCGTCCTCGGGGTTCACCTCCCGCAGGATGGGGGAACCTGCCCTGCTGCCCAGCCCTGGGGCTGCCTCCTCATCCTCATCCCCATCCCCATCCCCCTGGAGCTTTCCTGCTTTTCCAGAGCCTGGGGCTGTGTCTCCTGCTGCAGCAGCACTTTCTAAATCGGGCTCCGTTCTCCCGGATCCGCCAGGAATCGCTGAACTGGTGGCAGGAGGTTCGTGCTGCAAACAATGGTGTGAGGCACAGCCTGCTTTTCCCATTGTTCCAGCTGTGGGAGCTGGGCTGGATCCTGCAGCACCTCCCTCAGCTGCAGGACACTCTGTGGCTGCCTTTGTTTCGGGGTACTTGCTGTCGATATTTCCAGCAAGGGCTCCCCCCGAGCTGCCAAATGTTCCTGCTCCATCGCGTTCCTGTGGCTGTCAAGGAAATAAATGAATTATTTTATAGCTGGAACAAACTGTGCACACAAAGATAGGAGAGATTTGTTTCTCCAACAGCTCAGCTCCATTGGGATAGTGGAAAGTGTTCCAACCCCGTGGCAGGGGGTTGGAAGCAGATGATCCTTAAGGTTCCAAATCAGGTTGTGATTCCATGATTTTCCTTCTAGAAGCCAAGTGAGCGGGTGCTGAGGTTTTCCTGCTCTTGTCTGGTGTGTAGGAATGAGGGGCAGGGAGATCCTTCTGCTTCCCCAGGGTTTCCTGCTTTCCTTTCCAGCAGTGGCCACTTTCCTGATTCCCAAATCCCCAACTCCCAGCGGCCACAGAATCACCCAGGGGATCTCAACTCTTGTTGCAAGGTTGGAACCTTGCAATTAGGGACATTCCTGGCCTGTGGGGCTCATGTGGGAATTGCAGTTTGCCTCGGGAGAGGAGGAACTGGCAGAGGTGCTGTCCAAACAGCACATCCCCATTTCACCATTACTGGGAGTTTTGGCCAAAACCAGCTGGTAATTCATAGGTGCCCGTCAGTGGAGAGCCAGGATCAGGCAGGATCTATCCAAGAGCAGCTGGATTCATGGATTCAGAGACTCTCTCACACCCCAAGGCACAGGAAACTTGGGAAACACCAGTCAGTCCTTTCCAAACTGGACAATTCACCCACATGAGTTGGAAGGGGCCCTCAAGAATCATCAGCTCTGTGTCAGAGGTTTGTATAAATGGGATGGGACTGTTTTTTGAGTTTTATTGTGGTATTAGTCTTAATATATGGTTGAGATAATTGAAAGATGGTAATAGTTTACATCTTGTTAGTAGTAAAGATTTTTCTGTTATAGAGCATTTTTAAAACTTTCTAGCCACTAGCATGCTAAACATATTTTTCTACAATATTAAAATTTACTTAACCAAATCTAAAATTCAAACTATTATTCCATATCCTTACTCACTATACTGTTACAACTTTTCTACTTTCAAACTTTACAACTACAACTAACTCTAAATTCTCTACTTTTTCTATTTTAAAAACCTACTTTTACAACTTTCTAAAAACCTTCTTCCCTTTCCTATACTTCCCACAAACCCCAACTCCTGGCCCCACACAGGAGCAGGAATGGGATGATTTAAGGTATCTCAGTTGCCCTAAGATCCCAAAAGGGATTTATCTACTCTCCAACACTTAGAATTTCATTTTTTTGTCACAGCAGCTGTGAGAGTTAAGCTGGATCCACTATCTGCCCCAGCTGCAGCCCCAACCCATGGCCACAGCAGGGACCTGCTTGTTCCCGCTTTTTATGTTCCCTCTAAGAAAAGTTTCATTTGAATTTTGGATGCAGTGCCCACCCAGAAATCCCAGTGAATGAAGGGGGTTTACCTCACATTTTCCTCCTTACAGTAGGAACATTTTGATTTCTTCATCTGTCCATTTATTTTGCCAAGGGAGGACAGTTTAATCCCGTGGCAGATCCCAGAAACTGCCTGGCTTGTTCCAGACAGAGGAAGGAGAGCCTGAATGAGGCCTCAAACTTCAAGGATTAAATTTGAGACTGGTGTTTAAGATTAATAGCCTCATGTTTAATTATCTACACAACAGGAACCCACCAAGTATTCCAATACATGGATTGAATAAAGATGAGGCAGGATTCTTCCCAGACAAAACCCTCTAGGATTTCTCTACCTGTACAAGGCTGAGTGGGTGAGCTATTCCTGCAAGGAAAAAGCACTTTTTTAAATGACTGGATCACAGGTCTGCCCCTTCCAAATGAAATAGAGGAGGTTTCAATCCTTTTGTTACAAGAAATGGCACAGACACAACTTTTACTCCTGAACACTGACATTTACACTTGCAAATAACCCCAGTCCTGGGTTTTCCCTGCTTCCCCAGGACAAAACAGGAACAAAGCTGTTTCAGTGGCATTTGACAGGATCTTGCTGAAGAACATAAATCAGCCTGTGCTGCTCCTGGATCCTTACCTCCACCTTGATTTGAATTCTGTCCTCAGTAACACCCAGCACTTCAATTAATGGCTGGCTTTCCAGTGCTGATTGGGAGCAAGGGGAAGGGCAGAAAGCAGTGCCTAGAAATCCATCAACGTTCTCCTCACTGACAAACAATCTTTCCTAAAGAAAAAGAGAGAAAACAGCAGGTTATGTTCTTTTTGTGCTACACTTCAGGGGTACTGGGGCTAAAAACTCACTGCAAAGAAAGCCAGGACAGCAATTCCCAAGTTTCACAGCACACTCAAGTCCTGACAGAGAAATTCTAAGCCAGACATTCAAAGAATGAGGTGAAATTAATTAAAACCAGTGCTTAGCTAATTTTGCTTGAATGTACAACTCTGCATAGTATAAAATATAAAGGAAATATATTTTTCTCTCTTTGGATGGGTGAATAATACATAAATGTAGACTCTGAAAAATGATTTGTACCATCCTCACCTACCTTAACACCAGGAAGGTGTTAGACTGTTGTGGGTTTGTCTCCTGGCTGTCTGTAAAACACAAACACCTCCTTGGAGAGGCACTGCGGGATCCTCACTCCAAGATCAGATCTGGAACACTCAGGGCTGGATCCATTTCACACCCAGCCACTGAGGCTGCTCTGATCTCCAGGCAGACAAGCCAGTTGGGGAAAAAAAAAACCCAAAAAAAAAAACAAAAACAAAAAAGGAGAGGTATCCACAGGCAGAGACACAGCCTGGGGTGTGTTTCCTGGCTGTTCATAAACAGCCTGAAATGTGTTGCTATGAGTTTAGAGATTTAAATCAGTTACAGGTAATTAAAGGTCCTAAAATATATCCTGGAGGGGCTGTTTCATAGGAACTGCAGAGCTTTCCCTGTCCTGGTGTTATTCACACATCATCTGTGTAGGCTGAGGGGAAGGACAGACAAAATAAAAATTGTCTGACCTGAAGGAGCAGCTCAGGTTCTGGGAATTACCTTCCATATTTAATTGGAAATAACAGGGACAAGTTGCAAACCTTCCACATTAAGTCACACTTTTAAATTTCTCGGTCCAGTTCAACCTTCCTGTCAATCCAATGAAAGTTAAATTCAATTATCACTGACATCTTGCAGACCAAGAAGCAAAAAGGCAATTCTGCACATTTTTGGCCCCCTGTGGATGGAGCCTTATGCACAGCCAGATGTCACATTGTGTCTGAGGTACAAAATTTAACTGTTGTCTTAAAAAAAAAAACAAACCAGGATTGGAAAAATAAGCCAGAGTCCTATTTTTTTCCACTAGTTAAATTAGAAATCACAATATGGAAAGTCATAATATACATACTGTTGGTTTTCCAAGGCAGAGGATTGGATTCATTTTCTATCCAGAAAGATTACAATCCAGGCAAAGAGCCAGCACTGGATGGTTTGGGGAGAGATTAAAGTGCAGCAGAGCTGCCCTGGCTGAAAACCCTCTCAGAACATCCCTTCTTTTTGCATTTCTGCATGCAAAGCCTAAAATTCTTATTCCCTCGTGAGAGAGGGATCTGTCAGAGCTTTAGGCTGTGGAAATTCTCTGCAGAGTTCAGGGGAAGGTGTCAGAGTACAGAACAAGGCTGCAGACACAAAATCTGTGCAGCACCAGAACTCCCACAAGCTCCTGAACTGGATCCTTGGGCAGCTCAGAGCAGAATTCCCAGCTCTGCCCTGGATTGCTTGGCCCACAGAGCACAGACAGCTCAGCCTCCCCCGGAGGAAATTTGGGATTTTGGTGCCCTGCCTGTACATCCAAGAGAGCAAAGCACAGCCCTGCTCAGCCAGCTGAAAAATCACTCAGGGAACCACAGCATGGTTTGGTTGGAAGGGACTTCACAGCTCATCTCATTCCACCCCCCTGCCATGGGATATAATTCAGGACCTTTAATTACCTTCCACTAGACCAGGTTGCACCAAGTCTCATCCTACTTTTCCTCCATAAAATGAGGAAAATAATCTCCTTTCCCTCTGAATCTGCCTCTGGCACCTGTGGCTGTGTGAGGGACAGCCTCTCCTCATCAGCGCCATCAGGACTTCGCAATTTGGCAACAAATGCCCTGAATCCTTCTGGAGAATTTCTTCCTGATTAAAAGCAAAGGAATTTGTTTTCTTCACAGAAAATAAAGTTAAAAAACAAAAACTGGATGGGAGGTCTATTATCAGGAAAGGTTCTTCCCCCAGAGGTGCTGGCACTGCCCAGGCTCCCCAAGGAATGGGCACAGCCCTGAGGCTGCCAGAGCTCCAGGAGCTGCCAGGGATGCCCAGGGTGGGATTGTTGGGGGTCTGGGAGCACCTGGAGCTGGATTCCATGATCCCTGTGGGTCCCTTCCAGCTCAGAATATTCCATAATTCTATGATTAATCAGTGCTTTAAATGAGGATAAAAGGTAACTACTTGTGCTGTTGCTCCGTTAATTCTGACTCACTGCCCAAACCAATTTTACCAAGTTTCACCCAGCCCAACGCTGAATTCCCAGAAGTATTTACCATTTTATCCCATCCCTACCCCGTGGCCTGCCATAAATCACGGACCTGGGGTGTGTTTGTTGGCAATAAGGTGATTATCATTAGCCTGTTCCACCAGGCACTGTAACTCAGACTTTGCATTCACGGGGAGCACACACCGAGGCATTTATATTACTGCAGATGTTATCAGAGCACAGACCTTGGAAAAAAATGATTCAGGAATTTATTCTAAAGCCTGTTCTGCCTTCCAAGCCAGAGCAAACAGAGGACAACCATCTGCAGCTGATTTGAATGACCCTGTAAAATAATTCTTCAATTTAAGCCGTTTATTTTCTGGTATTTATGATGCTCTCTTAGCAACTTCGAATTTAATTTGTTTTTCCCTGCACACAACTGTCATCTGCTGTTTGGTACACATTCATTTTTCCCTGTGACTAAACTGAGACCAAATTAACATAAATGTTAGCAGGGATGACTTTGGTTTCTGGAACACTTCATCATTCAAACCCGTCCTTGTGTCTCACGGCACCGACAGCGCGGAGCCGCTCCCCTCACGCTGCCCTCGGCACTCAGATGGGTTTATTCTGCTTTAATTTATCCAAATTGAAGACAGTTTCCATCCACAGATACCTCCCACACAGGCTGCAAGTTTGAAAAGCAGGACAGATTTCAGGCTTAAATTATTTTGGTGGCTCCTGTAATGAGAGGATCAGGGAATCACAGAATGGTTTGGGTTGGGAGGGGATTTAAATCCCATCCAGTTCCAACCCTTCCACTATCCCAGGCTGCTCCAAACCCCATCCAAACTGGCTTTGGACAATTCCAGGGATGGGGCAGCCAGAACCTCTCTCATCCAAACCCAACAATTAATGCCAATATGGAAAAGACATTCCTGGATTTCCTGACCTCTGCATTTGTGGGATCCCAGCACAAACCAGCTCTGAGAGCTGAGAATTTGAAGCTCCAAGTTTTGGTACCTGTAGTGAAATTAAAACTTTTCCAAGGTGCTCATGACTGCAAAGATGAAACAGCTCCAAAGAAGCTTTGATGAGCTTCATCAGTAGGTTAATAATGTTTCCTGACATAACTGTTTTGTGTAGTCACGGTATTCCCAAAATGCAGCTACCAATTAAAGACTATTCAGAAATTAGTTTGTTTTATAGCAGAAGCAAACTAATTATGGTCCTTAATGTAGCTTGGGAAAGGGATTACTTTGAAAAATGTGAAATAATAAGTTTGTTGTGTTCTCCTTCTTTGTCCTTCTCTGACCTCTCAAAAAACTTGCCAAGAGTCTTGAAATGCTGAGCACAGAATTAACTGAACCAAAAATAAACTGTTGGAGGATTACATTCAACAGCTCCAGTTTCCAGCAGCATCTTCTCAGAAGTAACCCCTGACTATTACAATAAGTCTTTATAGCAGCTTGGAAATTGAAAATTATAACTCCAAATAGCTTGGAAATGAGAGCAAAACAACTCTCCAGGATGATTTCTCCATGAAAGGTGGCAAAGGTTTAAAACATCCATGTTTTACACTTCTCAACACAGCTCTCAAGGGTTCATGCTTGGTTGACTCACCAACCAAGGAAAACTTTTATCCACAAAAGCCCTAATTCTGAGCTCAGCGAGGACAAGGACAGCCCAGCACGGCCCACGGGGGCACTTCCAGTTCATGGGGACACTTCCAACCCACGGGGACACTTCCAGCCCTCAGGGACACTTCCAGCCCTTGGGGACACTTCCAGCCCACGGGGACACTTCCAGCCCTTGGGAACACTTCCAGCCCTCAGGGACACTTCCAGCCCTTGGGAACACTTCCAGCCCTTGGGGACACTTCCAGCCCTTGGGGACACTTCCAGCCCTCGGGGACACTTCCAGCCCTCGGGGACACTTCCAGCCCTTGGGAACACTTCCAGCCCTTGGGGACACTTCCAGCCCTTGGCCTTCTCCACATGGTCCCAGTGCCAGGAGCAACAGAACTCTGCCACCTCCAGCTCCACACAAGTGATGTAGGGAAATGCAGATGGGATATTGGGATTTGGGAATTCCTGGCTGGGAGGGTGGGCAGGCCCTGGCACAGGTGCCCAGAGCAGCTGTGGCTGCCCCAAATCCCTGGCAGTGTCCAAGGCCAGGCTGGATCAGCCCAGATCACCTTACCAGGTTCCAGCCTCTTCTAGGGGGCATCTGATCATCCCAGAATCCCAGAATGGTTTGGATTGGAAGGGGCCTTAAATCCCATCCAGTGCCACCCCAGGGACACCTCCCACTGTCCCAGGCTGCTCCAGCCCCAGTGTCCAACCTGGTCTTGGACAATTCCAGGGATCCAGGGGCAGCCACAGCTGCTCTGGCAATTCCAGCCCAGCCAGGAATTCCCAATTCCCAATCTCCCATCCATCCCTGCCCTCTGGCAGTGGGAGCCATTCCCTGTGTCCTGTCCCTCCATCCCATTTCCCCAGTCCCTCTCCAGCTCTCCCGGAGCCCCTTCAGGCCCTGCAAGGGGCTCTGAGCTCTCCCTGGAGCTTTTCCTCTCCAGGAGAACATTCCCAGCTCTCCCAGCCTGGCTCCAGCCCTTGGAGCAGCTCCGTGGCCTCTCTGGACTTGCTCCAACAGCTCCACTTTTTTTTTTTTTTTCACCAGCTGCTTTCTGAAGGAAAAAACACCAGGAGCTTCCAAAGGGTCTCCTTCACATGGCATTGGTGGCTGTGCCAAGCAGAAAAATCACACCCATGCAGAACATCCTGCATGGAGGCCTCAACACTCCCAGAAAAGTTAAACAAAACTTCCCTATCTCTGAGCAATTCCCATTTGGATCCCTCACACACAGTATAACTCAGACCCAGCTCCAACCATGAACTCCTCAGGAATGTTCAATATAATCTTTTTCAGCCTGTAAATGTGGAAAAAAAAAAAAAAAAAAAAAAAACAATGCATAGGAAAGCAGAGGAAATATTTCCTCTGTTTTCCTCTGCTCCCTGCTATTCTCTGGAGCCCTGTGGGGGTTTATGTGAGTTAAATCCCAATAGTCTCATACTCTCCAGAAGATCTGACGGGGTCTTTTAGGAAAGGGATGGGCTGGCTGCAATTCCCTGCACCCAGGGGGAATTGAGCAGAGGAACGAGCACACATCCTCTGAGCAAACCCACTGCAGGCCTCTGAGAAGGGCAGGAAGGGTGTGGATCAGCCTAAAAGGGAATTCCTGCATGAACCAGTCTCTTTCTAATCCCATGAAAATGAGCAGACACGACCCCAAAACTGCAGAATTCATTCCCTGCCAAATGTGTTTCACATGCTCCAAGAACTGAGCCCCTAAGTCTCAGCAGCTCAAACCACCCCCAAAAAAATGCTTCTTATTTCTGTTAGGAATGGAGCATTTAACCCCAGGAGATCAAACATCCCAAGACATTCCAAGTGCTTTCCAAAGGTACAATTTCCATAATTGCCCAGCTCCAGCACTGCCATAAACCAGGACACACTGGGACATGTTCTCAGAAACCCTGCCTGGCAGGTTTACAAATTGTATTAATGGTTATTTAACTCCCAACCCTTCTTCCTCCGTCATTTACTCCCCAGGCTGTGTTGTCTGGAAATGAAGGGGAACTCTCTAATGCAGGAGTTTCCCAAGCCTGAATTCCCAGGATTTAAGCAAAACATGTAGAAGGTTACAGAGGGTGAGCTGCAATGAAGAGTGATGGGGAAAGAACAGCCCATGGCTGGTATTTTGAGGCAAAGAGCAGAGATTTTGGCAGTGGGGAAATCAAGCAGCTTCCTCAGGTCATGAGATTATTCCCTGGAAAAACAGGGCCTGGAGCAGGCCCTGCAGAAGGATTTGCACTGTGGTCTCTGGTGCAGTGACTGAGCACCAGAACAGTGACAAAAAGTGGGTTTTAAACCCCTAAAATATGTGACCCTAAGCCCACAACGTTCAAATTTATGGATTCTTTATTTCTATAGGATTTCTGGTCACCATAACAAGTCATAGAATCAAGAGGATGGAAAAGACCTCCAGGATCCTCAAGCCCCACTGCAGTGTGGACATTCTGGTTTGAGCAGGGCACTGTAAAGATTTCCTCAAAAGAGGCACTTGCTGGAGTGGGAATTCCAACTGCTCAGCATCTATGGAAACTGAGCTCTAAATAGATCATATTCCAGCACAGGGATTCAGCCTCTGCTGACTACAAAAGGAAAAGCATCTCTTGAAGTTCTGTTTCAAGCATGGCATACTAAGGATGAGCCCAACTCATTTTTCTACCAGAATGTGGATCAGACCAGCTTCCAAGAAGGAACTTGATGGGAATGATTTGGGCAGGCAGCCTCAGAGGGCATGGAACAGCCACCGTGGCATGGAGCACCGAGGAGGGGCAGACTCTGAACTAACCCAGGGAGGAATCTGCTCCATGGAGCACCACAGCAACCCTCGGCCTCCAGCAGCAATCAGCTTCCCAGAATGGAGCAGAGCAGGAATTCCATAGCTGTTAAAAACATTGGACAGGGCTTGGAACAACCTCGGATAGAGAAAGGTGTCCCTGTCCATGGAATTGGTGAAGTTTTAGGGATCCCTCCTAACTCAAACCATTCCATGTTTCACTTTTGCCAGGCACCATCCTCTGGCAATGCTGTTGTGTAAGAGGAGATGACCACCAAGCAGATTGGGAAGTGCAGGATAAAATTCCTGCTCCAGGATAAAATTCCTGCTCCAGGATAAAATTCCTGCTCACCTCAGCCCCAAAAGCTCCCTTTAGGCACTGACACTGCTCTGCACTCTGCAGTGACTGATGTGACTCGTTACAGGTCTCAGTGCAAGAACCACAGCTGTGATTTATAGAATGACACTCAAGGCAGAAAAACCCCCAAGGTGGCATCAGACAAATTGAAGGAACCAACATAAGAAGAAGAAAAGCGACCAGGAACAAATGGTTAATGGCCAGAAGGCAGCAAGTAATAGTGGCTCTAATTAAATATTCATTTTTCTCCCTCCAATCTGAGTGAGTGCAGCTCTCAGGCACTTTGGGGAAATAGCACAGATTTAAAAAAAAAAAAAAAAAATCCAAACAAACAGGACAAATTACTTCAGTTTATTTCTCCTGCTTCAATTTGCAGGCCCACTGTCCAAAAGGACTGGAGGCCAGGAGAATCTCTTGGAGTTTGCTGTGAATGAATGGCCAGGAAGCTGATGACTAATTCCCAATCTCTTTCTCCTACTCCACCCAAAACATTTAGCAATATATAATAAAATCAGCACATTCAAGGGGTTTTTGTAACTCACAAAGCCAAAAATCTCATTACTGGGTGGCCTTTTAAAACCCTTCAATCACAAAATGTTCCTCCAATTGCAATAACAAATCCATATACCAAATTTGCAACCATTAGTGCACCACCACCACGTTCACCACTAAACCACCTTCTCAAGTGCCACATCCACAGGTTTTTCTGAGCATTCCCAGGGATGGGGACTCCACCAGTGCCCTGGGCAGCCTCAGTACCTGCACAGAAAACAGGCAGGAGTTTACACAGTGGCTTTTTTGACGTGGCAGCAGCAGGCAGTGCCAGATCACAGCAGTGAACAGCAGCGCTGAGTGTTCTGTGGCCCCACTTGCACAGACTTGCAGGCTCCTGCTCCGGTAAAAGCAAAGGAAATGCTCTGCAAACAGCTCAGCGTGGGTGGTTCCCCATAAATTCATCATCTTTGATGCTTCCCTGAAATGATCAGCTCCTCCTTCACAGGAATTGCTGTTGTAAAAGGTGTGCGGCCGCCAAATGGGAAATTCAACGTGGTTTCAGCTGCACAAACACTAATTGGATAAATATCTTTCAAAATCAGGCACAAGTCATTTCTAGTTGTAGGGATGGAGCAATTAAGCTGCTCCAAACCAAGTCTATCCCAGTGGATATGCTTGAAGCCTGCCAGCTTCCTGGACTTGCAATCCCACTGCACGTGATCCAAACTGCAGAGGATTTTATTGCTCTCAACTCCAGCCAAACTCCAAATCCCATGGCTAGAAGGTTGCACAAGAACTGTGCAGCTTTAATCCCTGCTCATGAGAAACTGTCTGCAAGTCTGAGCTCACAGAGGAAAGCGGTTCTCCACAAAACTTGTGTGAATGGCTCTGGACAATGTCACAAGTTGGGCATCCCTCTGGGGACACTGGATGCAGCCACCCCACTTTCTCCCACCACGGGAGCACCACTGCCCAACAACCCATAAAATTAGAAAATACTAAATTAGAATCATATTCAGACAGAGCAGGTGAAGCTTTACCCCAGCAAAGCAGGACAGTTCACAGCTGCTGCTTGCTGTTCTGCTCTGGTTGAACTAATGGGGGTTGCTGTGGCTGTAAATGGGAATTCTGTCCCAAAACACAGAGACAGGGACACTCCCCCTGCACTTCATGACAGTGTATGCACACGTGTGTAAAAGCCTGGTGTATCACAAAGAGCTTTCTTTGTGTGAACGGGCTGCACCTCACAGGGCTTTAAAAGTGAGCACTAAGGACATAGAGGACATAGCTACTGTTTTCATTCATCACCAGAATTTCCCTTAGAAAAAAAATTCGCATGGGAAGCAGAAGTCATTCCAATTCCAAGGATGAAGGTGTCAACTCCATGGCGTGACCTTGGCGCTGCTCGTACAAGACTCGCACAAATCAGGTCACGGCACTGCCATCCCAGAGCAGCTCTCCGAGGAAGCAGCAACTTCCAACTGCTCCTCACACCTCCTTGAGCCACCACTCAGGGTGCTCACTCACCATTCAGCAACCAGCAGCCACACCCAGCAGGGCACCTCGGGCAGGTGACACCTCGGGCAGTGCCACCAGCGTGCCACTGTTACCTGCAGAGCGGAGGGATGGAGGCCAAAGCTGAACTTGTCCCAGAGGCCGGTGCTGCCGGGGGCCTTGGCGAGCCCCACCACGGCGTTGTGAGCAGAGACGCTGACGCTGCTCTCGGGGCGCAGCAGCGCGGCCGGGAAGCGCAGGAACAGGGCGAAGGCCGCGCTGGCGGTGCGGAAGCGGAGGCTGTAGTGGTGTGTGCCCACGTCCCCATGGAGGCTCCGGGGCTGGATGCCGGGCACCAGCAGGAGCAGAGTGAGGGACGCCTCGTCCTGCCGGGCACGGAAGGGAGGGCATGTGGCCACCTCGCTGGGGTGGGCCTCGGAGGCCTGCGTAGGGGTGTCCCCGGTGGGCATGGCTGGCTCGGGGCTGGTGATGGGGGAAGCGGCACCGGAGCAGGGCAGTGCTGGGTCCAGGGGCTCGGTGGGTGGTTCTGGTTCTGCGGGTGGATCAGTGGTGGGGGGTTCGGTGAAAGGTTCAGAGTGGGGATCCGTGGTTGGACCAGCACGGGGTTCAGAGCTTGGATCAGTGGCCGGTTCAGAGGTTGGATCTGTGGTCGGTTCAGCAAAGGGTTCAGAGCCTGGATCAGTGGCAGGTTCAGCGGGAGGTTCAGGAGGGGAGTCAGCAAAGGGTTCAAAGCTTGGATCAGTGGTCGGTTCAGCAAAGTGTTCAGAGCCTGGATCAGTCGCAGGTTCAGCAAAGTGTTCACAGCTTGGATCAGTGGCCGGTTCAGCGGGGCATTCAGAGTTTAGATCAGTGGCCGGTTCAGAGGTTGGATCAGTGGCAAATTCAGCAAAGGGTTCAGAGCTTGGATCAGTGGCAGGTTCAGCGGGGGATTCAGAGTTTAAATCAGTGGCCAGTTCAGAGGTTGGATCAGTGGCAAATTCAGCAAAGGGCTCAGAGCTTGGATCAGTGGTCAGTTCAGCAAGAGGTTCAGGATGGGAGTCAGCAAAGCGTTCAGAGCTTGGATCAGTGGTCAGTTCAGCGGGGGACTCAGAGTTTACATCAGTGGCCGGTTCAGAGGTTGGATCAGTGGCAAATTCAGCAAAAGGCTCAGAGCTTGGATCAGTGGTCGGTTCAGTGGGGGATTCAGAGTTTAGATCAGTGGCCAGTTCAGAGGTTGGATCAGTGGCAAATTCAGCAAAGGGCTCAGAGCTTGGATCAGTGGCAGGTTCAGCAAAGGGTTCAAAGCTTGGATCAGTGGTCAGTTCAGCAGGGGATTCAGAGTTTAGATCAGTGGTCGGTTCAGAGGTTGGATCAGTGGCAAAATCAGCAAATGGTTCAGAGCTTGGATCAGTGGCCGGTTCAGCGGGGGGTTCAGGACAGGAGTCAGCAAAGGGTTCAGAGCTCGGATAAACGGGGGGTTCAGGAGGGGAGTCAGCAAAGGGCTCAGAGGTTGGATAAACGTGGGGTTCAGCGGGTGCATCACAGAGTGGTTCTACGCGCGGTTCCGCGGGTGGTTCAGCGAGGGGCTCGGCAGCCGGACCAGCGGGAGGATCACCAAGTGGGTCAGCGGGGGGTTCGGCGAGTGGATCACCGGGCTCCCCGCCGCCACACGTGCTGCGGGCCGCGCCGCCAGGCCCGAGTTCCGGGGGAGGAGCCGCTCCGCCGCCCGCCTCCGCCGGCCCTGCCCGTGCCAGCCCCGCGGCAGCGGGCTCGGCCCCCTCCAGCCGCTCCCCGGACGGGCCCGGCGGCAGCACCACGGGCAGCGTGACCTGCAGCTGCCGCTGGGCCCGGTTGAAGGCGGCCCGCCCGCCGCTCTCGTCCACGTCGTAGGGGAGGCGGAGGCGCAGGCGGTAGGCGGGACACCGCGAGTCCAGCCGCAGCTCCCGCCCGCGGATCTCCAGCTCCGCCTGCTCGGCGGAGCGCAGCAGCGGCAGCTCCACCGTCACCACCAGCTCCCGCGGCACCGGGCTGGGCGCGGAGTCGCGGCAGTGCCGGTAGTCCTGCAGGTCCACGTAGGAGCGGTGGCGGATGCTCCAGCGCGGCGTGGTGGGGCCGGAGGGCGGCGGGGGAGCGGCGGGAGAGGCGGCGGGCGGCGGGGCGGCGGCGGGCGGGGAGGGGAAGGGGAAGGGGAAGGGCGGCAGCGGGGACTCGCCGTCGTCGGGCGGCTTCGGGGCGCCGCCGGGCAGCGGGGAGCGGATGACGGGCGCCTGCGGGACGCCCTTGTAGGAGACTCCTCGCAGGACCGTGGCGTTGTTGCGATCCAGCCGCACCCCGCAGCGGCTCTCCACGGCCTCCAGCGCCGTGTCGCGAAGCAGGCGGCGGAAGCGGGCGCTGCGGGCGGCCAGGCGCAGCGCGGCGGGGTGGAACACCACGTCGTACAGGAGGCGGCGGCGGCCGCCGGGGCGCAGCTCCTCGCGGCCCGGGGCCAGGCTGTAGGGCAGCTCCCAGCGCTGCCCGCCGCGCTCGGCGCGGGCCCGCGGCTCCCCCATCAGCGCGTTGCTGCAGACGTTGATGTAGCAGCGGCGGGAGCCGTCCTGGCTGGTCCGTAGCACGAAGCCCGGAGTCGGGTGCACGAAGCGCACCTCCATGCCGCGCTCCCGCTCCAGCGCCGCCACCTCCTCCTCGTACAGCCGGCGCTGCTCGGGGTCGGTGAGCTCGGCCGCGTACTCCGCGAACAGCGCGCGGAATTGCTCGTCGCGGAAGGCGCGCTTGAGCCGCTCCGCCTCCTCGGCGCTGAGGTCCAGGTCCTGCAGCCGCCCCGCGCCCGCCATGGCCCCGGCACGGCACGGCTCGGCCCGGCCGGGAGCTCTGCTGTGGGGACGCCGAGCAAGATGGCGGCGGTTGCTGTGGTGACGGTAAACAAGATGGCGGCGGTTGCTGTGGGGACGCCGAGCAAGATGGCGGCGGTTGCTGTGGGGACGGTAAACAAGATGGCGGCCGTTGCTATGGTGATGGTAAGCAATATGGCGGCGGCGCAGCGGTTGCCATGGAGACGGCAAACGACATGGCGGGCTGTCCCTCAGGGCCGAGGCCTCTCCGTCCCGGCCTCGCCTTTTCCCTCCCCTCGGTGGCTTCCAGCCAGCATCAGCAGGGCTGGTTTTCCACCGTCATCTCTTCATCCTTCAGCAAAGTGTGTGTTCCCTCCCAATGCCACACTCTGAGCTCCACTGCCATCCCCTCACAGGGCACTTGTAAATCCTCAACAGACCCAGCTTCCCTCAGAGCCCGTATCCCACTGTCCCTCCTCCTTCCTGCTGTGAAAAACGGGGTTCACTTTCCCGGTAAAATTTAAAAGTTTAATTTTTGTAGGATACAAAAATAAAACAAAGCTACCAGCTGGGTGCTTGGCATTCAGCCAAGAGCACACCTGCTATTTCAGAGACAGCCTTTATATAACTTTTCTATTGCATCAGCCTACTGCATATTCACAAACAATTATGTATATTTAAATTTCTCCCCAAACTAGTTTACATGTTCTAAGAACTGTTTAGCATTGGGTCCACCTTTTTAGAGCATGCACATTTCTTGCCTGTGGTTTAAATCCATTCTCATAATCACCTCAGTCTATACTTTGTACAGACAGGAGGTGTTGATAGTAGTAGGGGGGTCTTCATCATAAGTTCATTGGGTCATGATAAGTTCATTTGGTGTTATCCCAACTAAGTAGTTTAATTATCACAAGCATAACTATATCAGCCATTTCACTACTATGTCTTAATTTAGTTAATAGCAGAAATTAAAACTGCATAGCAAAGTTAATTTAACATTATACATATAGAACCCAATTCTTTTAGTATTTATGAAAAGCCAATATTATAATATGCATTTATAACACTGCCCTGGGCAGTGCCAGCACAGCAGGCAGGGCTATGAATCAAAGCTCCTCTGGCACACCTGGTGTGGGCACTTTGGGGTACCCTGCTCTGCCCTCCGTGCCCTCAAACACCTGGAGGAGATTTTGGCTACGTTTCCCTCTTTCCCACTTCCCCCCACATCAAGATTTCCTCCTCCCAGCCTTCTCCAGAAGTTCTAAAGGATCATGTCCTTGCTTTTACCACTCCTTGTCCTGTCTGCATAACACCATCTTCAAATTGTGCCATTATAAAACACCTCACAGAACTTTCCTGGGGTTTCCAAGACCAATTAAAATCCTACCCCCATTTCCAGGCTCCCTTGCAGATAACCAGCTATCCAAGTTCTCCTTATCTTTAATTCCTTTTTTTAAAACATGTTCCTTTCCTGTTTGATACAGCTGGTTCCTCCACTTAACCTTTTTTTATGCTTTGCCCATTATTTTTCACTCTGACTTTACAATTTATCTAAACTGACACCAGTGTCTTTTCCTGTAAAAGTTTATTTGTGTACAAAACAAATCAGTTTTGAAAAAGTACATAATACATCACAAAACTTAGGCATGTAAAAAAAAATACACTTGGCTTCCCATGGGTTCACTGCCTTTTTTTCAGTGCCACAGAAATTCAGAGTCCTTGAAGCTTGCTGAAAATACCAAAGAAAAACAGTATTTAAAAGGTTTATTTTGAAAATAGTTCATAATCCTCATAATGTTCATAATTTCTTTATCTAGGAAAGACTTGATAATCATGTTTTCAACTATTTAAAGACCTAAAGTATCTAATGGTGTGATATTTTTTATATTCAAGTACAAGTTAAATAGTCTGACCCATTATTAATTCCCTGAGAAGGTTTCTCCAACAAGAAGATAAAAGTTATGCTTTTCTTAATGGGTTATACCATCATTATTTTAAACAGGTAAAATTTCATCCATTTTAAGCCCTTTGATACATTTTAATATTTTTTTGGTGTTGCAACTGGCTTTTTTCCAGTGGAATGAACAAGTGCAGATTTAAAAAAGATACGAAATCAAAGCCTGAAAGTGGCTTCTGGGCTTGATGATTATCACAAAATTAAGCAAAAATTGTTCCTAAATTTAATTCATTTATGTAACAACCATCATCCCCAGAAACAAACCTGCTTCCCAGTTAGGTCTCTATCATTGAAAATCAGGCAGTGCAGTCATCTCCTTTTACCTTTGGACTGCGCTTCCCATCATTGATATTTGTTATTTCTAAATTTATTTCTTTAGCTCTGGGCATTTGGATTTGTTACACTGCCTAAGTATGAAGTGTAAGTTAAGCTGCTGAAACATTCAAATATTACACATTTTCTGTGTTTTTTATCTTATTTTTATGATAATCAGAAACTCAGCACAAAAGAAAAACCCATTTACCTGTCTTCAACTGTCTTGTTGGAGGGGTAAAACACCTTGAAGGAAAATCCACTTCTGGGAAACGAACCCTGTGAAGGAAAAGGGGGGAAAAAAAATCCACATTTGTGTGAGGCAAATGCCAGTGCAGGGAGTGAGGAAGGTGGGATGGGAGTGCTGGGGGCTCTTACAGGGTTGATGCAGAGGCAGTCGCTGCTGGTGACAGTGAAGGGGTCGTGTTTGTCAGCAGTGACCAGCAGGTCTGGCAGGGGATAAACCCGCAGGGAATAATCGTAGGCCCAGAACACGGGGCTGACGTACAGCGGCAGCGGGCTCAGGTGCCCCTGGGATAAAATGGTCTTCACAAACTGCAACAACAACAAAAAAAACCACAAAACAAAACCCACAAACACTTGGTTTGAAGCATTTATCTCCTGGGATAAAGTGGTCTTCACAAACTGCAACAAAAACCAAGAAAACAAAACAAAACCCACAAACACTTGGTTTGAAGCATTCATCCCCTGGGATAAAATGGTCTTCAAACCTGCAACAAAAAAATCCCACTGATGCCTTGAGAAGGCTGACCTGAAGCAGAGGCTGGATGGAGTTACAGAATGAAGGAGGGATTTATTAAAGGATCTCCTCATGGATCCGCCTTGGGCACCACCAGAGCCCAGCCAGGGCTGCACCCAAATGACCCAAAATGGCCCCAAAATGCACGAGCGCTCCCGGGGGCTCTCCCTGGGATCAGTTCTGCTCCATTGGCACCTTGGAGTTCATTGTCCCATTCCAGCTTTAGCCCAGGCAGTCCCACCCTGCTTGTTTTTCTCTCTCCAGCCCACGGTGTTTGTGCTCCTGGGCTGAGATTTGGATCATTTGTCCTTGGTGCCCAGCTGGAGCAGGAATTGTTTTGTGTCCCTGCTCTGTGCAGAGAGCTCAGCATCCCCTGGTATGGAGCCCAGACCCACATACTAAAGCAGCACAGAATGTGAAAAATATAAAAGCCAAAACCTGAGGCATCACCATAAACACTTGGTTTTAACCATTTGAAGCATTTATCCCCTAGGATTAAATGGTCTTTACAAACTGAAAAAAATCCCCCATTTGCTGCAAGCTCAGTTCATCCTGCATGTGTCAGTGTGTGTTAATAAAGCTTTTTAAACCTGGAAATGTTTGGGGTTTTTTGTATCTCATTCCTTCTGATTATTAATGATTTCTAGAGTAAAGCAGTGACTCTCCTTCAGCACCGAGCTGCTCTTTCTTTTCTTCACTTTTGGGGCTTTTAATACTCAAAGGCTTTTTTAAAACACATCAGCCAGGATTTGAAGATGTCACAATTATTTCATCAATCAGATTCCCCAGGAGAATCTACTTACCTGCTCCTCCAGCCCAGAAAGTACCAACACTGCCACAATTCCCATTTTTTGGTTTTTTTTTTTCCTTACTGCTTTCCAGTTAACCACATGACCCACACAAAAAAAGTCTTCCCTGAACTGAATGAATAATTTGATTCCCAGATGATTTTCCTTTCTTTGTGACAAAATTTCTCTCTCTCTTGTTTTTTCACACTGATGGCTGAATTAAAATAGGCAAAAAGGCTGAGGAAAAGTGGAGTGTGCAAAAAACAACCTGCAGAAAGTGCTGCAATTCTACATTTCCTTCCTGGAAAGCCCTGGATGAGGACAGGGAGGTGTCAGGAATGCAATTGTGCCCACAAAACCAAGGTACCTCGGTGTTCACAGAGACACTGAGCAAAAACACCTTTCTGAGGCAAGTAAACACAAAAACTCCTGTAAAATAAATAAAACCAAACTCCATCCATCACTGCAACGAGCCAGGACTACCTGGACTGTTCCCATCCAATTATTTCAGTAAATCCCATCAGCTCCTGCTGTGGCTTCATTATGTGGAACCACAACCCAGAGCACACTGCTGATGTGTGAGAAGCAGAATTTCAATTTCAAGTGAGGACACAAAGCAAGCAGATGAATTTTGGAGGAAGTGACCTGCTGCTTTACTGCAAATGGCACTGGGTAACCGATCAAATCTTTAAGAAATGGTAATTTGCATTAAAATTTGCCTCTAGGAATCATGTTTCTTGGCAGGACATTGATGGTTGGAAGTTCTGTGTTCAAGGGCAGCTCCAGTGTGACAAAATTACTCAATCCCATCTTAAAGTATCATGGTTTGAGTTATTTTGCTGTCAAAATGTAAAGAAAAATAAGAATACTAAATGTATAAATCCTTCTTTCACCCCCTCTGTGTTACTCATGAAATTTGCCACAAGAATGAGGATCAGAACCCCCAAAATCCAGCCCTGCTGATCAATAAAATCAAAAATCTTGGCAAAAAGTGGTGAACTCCACTCACTCACATGGTTGGGAATGTCCATGGTGCTGTTTGGGAAACGGACACAGTTCCTGCACATTTTGTTTACCAAATCTTCCCGAAAAATAATGATTTCTTGGGTGCAGTATTGAACCCTGAGTGGGAAACAGCAGTGAAATTAATTAAGGTTAACCTAAAAATAAGGAAGATGCATTAGAAAGTTGATCTCCCTCTAATACAGACAATTGAATGAAAATAATACTTTCCCTTATGATGCTTTTGAGCAGGATTCTTAAATTCAATATCAAGTTTTTTAGCACTACTTCCTTTCTTCACTGATTTTTTTAAGTCTTACTGTATTTAAAACTTTTCACAATTCATGCAAGTGAAGAATTCTATTAATTTGAAAAATTTAAGGCAAATTTTCCCCAAAATCTGTTGGCTTTGAAAATCATATTTGCACATAATTTAGTTTAAAAATATATTTTAAAAAATTAGCAGTTACATGGTTACCTGCAGGGATTTGTGGTGAAAACTGAAAATGGCACCAGCTGTCTGAATTCCTGAGTGATATTTTCAGCCAGGGGGGGTCTAAAATAAATAGCAGAGGTATCAACAAGACTCTTACCATTAATTCAAATTTCACTCAAAATTTCAGGATGTGAGGAAGTGAAGCAAACTGACCTTGGTAAAATAGAACCAGGCCCAGGATCTTCAGGACCAGGGACAAACACAAATCGACTACTGCAGGGAAAAAAAAAAAAAAAAAAATTTAACAAATCTCTTTTGTATAAACTGATCTTAAAAACTGGGTTTGATGTTCTGAATTCAGAGAGCAGGAGCCAGGAAAGTATCCCAGGGAGAGACCTTGGCTCCCTCATTAGCAGTTTCCATGCCAAGCTGTTTTAGATAAAATCAAACTCACCCTGCTCCCAAACAAACCTGCAGGCCTGTTACAAAACCAGCTTTTTATCTGATCACAGCTGGCTCACAAGACAGAGAAAACAGGGTAACCCTCAGCTCCTTCAAGTAATTAAAGGCTTCACAAAATAAACAGATTTCCCCTTGCTCTGTACCTTTTATGGATGCTGGGATATTCACATATAATATCTGCCAGAGCCTTCAAAGAACCTGGAGTAAGGGAAAAACAGGACACAACCCCTGGTTAGAAATAAACACACCTTGGGTGAATCCCCCCTCTGCTGCAGTGCACTTTAAAAAAAAGGTTTATTTTCTGCTGTCTTCATCTGTTTGTCATCATTATTTTAATGCGGTGCACATGTCTGGCTGTTTACAAAGCCCTTCCTACCTTTCAGGGACTGGATTTGATTTTTGCCATATGGTGCAGATGAAAAATTTCCACAGAAGAAAAAGCAGGTGGGAGGTGCAGAGGAATAACCTGGGAAAAGAGAGGATCTGTGAGTGCATCCATTGACTCCAGCACTCAGCCCACTCCAGGAAAAGCAGGAACTCAAACAGCCCTTCAAGCTCTGCTGCTATTAATACACCTGACTGATTTTCTTCATCCAGGCTGTTTTTAGCTCAAAAAGGTGATGGCAATGTACAAACATCACTTTGAGGGAGCCCTCTGGCATTTACAGACTGAGTTCCAGCAGTGTTTGTGTGCATCCAACTCCTGACCCAGTCAGAGAATTATACCAAGTGCAATTATCATAAATAATGCCATTTAAAAAATGTATTATTGCCTTCAAGAGGAAAACGGCAAGCAAGCAGCACTGAATTGCTATTAACCTCCCTGATCATTCCAATTTAAGGGCTCTCCCAACATCCAATTCCCCCTTTGGCATTATAAAGCAGTTTGAGGATCTGATGAGTGCTCACAACCTCACCCATTTACTGCTTCAAAGCAAAGGGGGGGAAAAAAAGAAACCTGATTCCCATCCCTGAAATAAAAATAGAAACAGCTACTCAGGCATTCATCTCACATCCCAGTTACTCTCCATTTTCCTGACACACAGAATCACACTTGGATTTACTTCACTGGTTTTCAAAGGGGCTGGTAAATAGAACAGAATTGCTTATCTCAGAGAAATGGCTCATCAATATTTTCCTTGCTCTCCCCCACAGCTGCTCATTTAGTTTATAATTAAGAAGGTTATCACTTGCCAATAAAGTCTCAAAATAGCAAATGCAAGGTCTGCATCTCTGCCAGGTGAGCTCAGCACACAGACCTCACTGACCAAGGTCCCTTTCTGCCCTCAGCACCTGCAAGCCCGGCTCAAGCCCAGCTTGCCCACAGGATTTGCCAGCTCTGACCCAGATACTGAACTGGTTTTGTAGCTTCTGCATGACTCTGCTCATTTCTGTCCAGTTCCCTTTTGGTGAGGAGCAGTTTCCCACCCTGAATTCTGGCTGTTTTTAACCAACCACTCTCTCACACTTCCATTCTGCCCGAGGCAGGAGGGACAAGCTGTTCCCAAACTGCTGCAACACAAAGGAGCAATTCATAAATGCTTGTTTTTCCCAGTGCTGGCCACATTGCTGATCCCAGAGTCCTGGAATGAGCTGGGTTGGAAGGGACCTTAAAGCTCATCCCATTCCACCCCCTGCCATGGGCAGGGACACCTCCCACTGTCCCAGGGTGCTCCAAACCCTGTCCAGCCTGGCCTTGGACACTGCCAGGGATCCAGAGGCAGCCACAGCTGCTCTGGGAATTCCATCCCAGCCCCTCCCCTGATGATGATCAGATCTGATGATGGATCATCATCATCAGATCCTCAAACTGCTCAGGCAATTCCAGTTACTGTTGCTTTGCCAGGAATTCCTCCCCAATATCCCATCTGGCAGTGGGCAGCAATGTTCATCTCTCTGAACCAAGGAATTAGTCTTTAAGCTAAGCCCAGGAAGAACTTTCAGGAGCCAGGGAAACTTTCTTGTCACAGCCCAGAAAATGGCTACTGGTCCAAACACGGTTTGTACTAAAAATTTATAGAAGAAATCATGCAAACAAGGTTTAGAGGGAAAGCAATTCTCACCTACCCGAAAACATAATGTGAAGTTTTTCCAGCACCTCTGCTTGGTCCAGCCACACATCAGACACAAACACAAACATGGCATCTTCATTCTCTTCCTCCAGCTGCTTCAGCTTTGCAGAAGCCTTTACTGATGATGAGGAAGGCCCTCCAAAGAAGTTTATATTCCCATAGAAGGCTCTGCATCATTAAAATGTCCCAGTTAGGATCCCAGAATGGTTTGGGTTCAAAGGGACCTTCAAGCTCATCCTATTCCAGCCCCTGCCATGGGCAGGGACACCTTCCACTGTCCCAGGGATCCATTCTCTCAGTAACAAGGAATTTATTATTCCCATGGAACAGTTACCTGGCTTTGCATTTGAGAAGGGTTTACATCCCAATTTCCATTAGTATGCAGAACCCACAGGCCTTTGGAAGGGTTTTTCTGCCAACACTACAGTGCCTGTAAGTCCCAGAACTGCTTCCTTAAAATGATATTTATTTTAAAGCATTTGGGGAGGAGGAAGAATAACATACTTGAATGTCAGAGAAATTACAAAACAACAATGATCTTACTTAGAAACCCATAGGAAAACATGGAGTGAGGCTGCCAAAAGTCACTTTTGTACCTCGTGGTAGCAGAAGGCTCGGTGGGCGGAAATCCAAAAGCGTTCACATGAAAAACTTCATCTTCATACCAACCTAGGAGGTTTTGGAAGAGCAAAATAACCCTTCAGTTTTTCTAAGAGCATCATGTCCCAGACATTAGTCAGAGAGCTGGCAGCCGTGCTGCACTGCCAGCCCCAGCCTCCATCAATCCCTCTCTTGTGGCAGCTCCACAGAACCAGAGCACCCCAGGATCTGGGTGGGAAAGGGGCTGAGCAAGAAAACAACTTTTTTTTAAACCTCAGCCACTTCTGTGAATGGATTTGCTGCACAGCCACTGAGGGGGAATGCAGGGGAACAGGAAGGATTTTGCTGGCCCTGTCCTGGAAGGGTCCCCATGCAAGTGCTCCTTGTGTCAAATCCCACTGTTGAGAACAGAAGGAACAGGGTGATATTTATTTATCCACACTCTCATTTCTGTTCCCAACTTTTTCTTACAAGCATAAAACACACCAGGAAACAGGCTGAGACCATGGATCTTGCACAGAGGAACATTACACATACAGAAATAGCCCTTTTTTTTTTTGCTAAAACAAGGCTCCAAAACTGCAAGCTCTTACATCATCCTAATGAGAAGCCTCATTAAAAAGCTTTGCCAGCACAGAGCAGCATTTTCAGATCATTAAATAATTCCTTTGGTTTTTCTAGGCTGTCTTTCTAATCCAGCCATAACCTCTCCAAGCATGCTGGGGCCAATCCTCAAAGCTGCTCCAGACCCTCACATGCCCCAACACCCCCAAATTCCTCCTCTCTGCCTCCAGAGTCCACGAGGTCGCAGAAAAAGCTGAAGGCCAAAAATCTCAGTCCCAGACTCACTGATGGTCACCAAAATGAGACTTCTCTGCTCAGCCACATCTGGCAGCTACAGCTTGAACAGAATAATTTATTACAAACCAAAAATAAACCCAGTCTGCTTTACCTTCTGCCAGAACAAAGGAGGACTCGGTGTATAATCCACTGTGGAACTGGTGCAGGAACATTAAGGAATGTATTTTTCTCAGATTCAAAGTAGGTTTTTGAACCAAAATTTGCTTTCCAGCTGGTGTAATAGATTTGGACAGCACTGAAAGTTCACAGGCTGCCTGAAGAGCCTGGACATTCCCTGGTACCTGAGCAGGTAAGTCCAGAAAAATCCCAGGAAGGGGAACAGGCTCTGCTTCCATGGGGAGGGAAAGTGACCAAGGGAAAGGCAGGAGCTGCAGCAGCCAAGGAATGGAAAACAAAGGAGAAAGACAGAGCTGCAGCTCTCAATATGTAGTTTTTAACGGTCAGCATTGATTTACTGTTCAATTTAAAATCCTGCAGGTCTACAGGAAATTCCTCCAGCTCTCCCATCACAGCAAAAGGATATTGCTTTACTAAGGTCTAGCTGGACCACTCCTGTGGGGTCTTCTAGGAAAAATTTCCCCTACAAAAGAGGATTCATTAATAAAGCAAAACATACCGAACACACAAATGCTTCAATCAGAAGCATCTATCAGTCAGCATTTAGAAATGATTTGGCTGGGTTTAATGTTTTAAGCTGGCAAGAACTGAAAATAATGTCACTTATAGTAAATGTATCTCAGCAGCTTCCCTGGGAGCTGCTGCAGTTGGGATTGCTGGTGCTCCCCTCCCAAAAACCACAGTCCAGGACATTGGCAAGTCCAAGCTCAGCCACTGGAAGCTCCAGCCTCTCAAGAAGAGACATGCCAAAAAAATCCCAACTGCTTCTGACATAAAAATTTTGTAGTGGGAAGACAAAGAAAGACATTTTCCACACACATGGGCACTGAATGCTTGTGGGAAAGTCTCTTAGAATGAGTCAGGTGTGAGATATTTAAGTTTTCTCATTTTTTAATGTATTACAGCACTGAAGGAGCAGTGATCAGAGACTCCACAACAAAAAGGAACTCACCTCCTTGAGCTGAGTGATCATCCCAAGCACAATCACTTCTCCCACTTTAGCTGGATTGCCCAAGAGAGTTTCTACTGTCTTTAGCTGGGATCAAAGGCAAATAATCCAATCAGAATCAAATCAAACTCTCCAAACTCAAACTCTCTTGGTTGCTTTTTCCCAAGCAAGACAAAGCCCCACAGGCCATGGCTGTACATGAACACACAGATGAGCAGAGGATACAGGCTCATTACCAAAATCAGAGCCTTATTTCTCAATGTGGCTTAGGAGAAGATTCCCAATAGTGGCTGCTAGCACAAAGAACTGCTGTTATTATCTGGATTAAACCTGGAAAGAACTCCATTTTTTTACCTGGAATTTGCTCTTGCCATCATCAGGATGAGCATCAACTGGCGAAGGAGTGAAGAGCTCATGTCTGTGAGTTCTCTGCACAAACCAAAATTGAAGTGATTCAGTTTAAAAATAAATGAGCACTGCCAAAAAGCCACTTTGCTTCAAGCACTATGCAAAACACTTCAGAAAGTTCTTACTCTCCTTCATCCAGCAACTTTTAATAATTCAGTCCTTTTGACGAGAATTTACTTCCAAGAAACAGATGATTAATAACACCAGATAATAAAACTAAGCCTAAAAAAAGTGTCATGAAAGCATCTGTAAGGCTGCTAAAAGAAGTTATTTGTGACAAGCTGGGAGGCAGAGTTTATGAGGCTCAGAGCACGATGTATTTTTGGAAGGAGAAGTGGGATCCATCCCTGTGGACTCCTGACCTGCTGGAGGATGGAGTAGCGCTCCCGGAACAGCTCTGCCTTGTCCTTGGCAGTCCCAAATAAACTCGGCCTAGGCAGGTCAGTCATGGACAGGCTGCAAGGAAACAACACAATCACCATTTAGAAAAGGGATACTCCCCACATAAAAATGATTTCTTGATCTAAAAAGTCTGGGAGGCCACAAAAGCTGCACCATGATTTAGATACATTCCTGCTCAGGATCCCGTGTTTCTGCATTTCTGCATCCATTTCATTCCCCTCTAACTCACAGGCCTTGAGATTTATCCTTCCACCCAAAGAGATCTCTGCAGAAATCCATTTTAAAAAAAGCAGTCATGCCTCTAAGCAGTTGTGAACAAAAGCATTATTCCTCCAGTTTCTCACCAGCTGCTCCTAATTTTTCTTTTTTACCGTTTGGAGCTCTCCTTAGAAACCCCCCAGGGTTTCAGGGAGCTGCAAGATACAGACTAAGAAATAAATACAGGCAACAGACAGATGAAATTTATTAAAAAAATAAATTTAAACAGCCCAATGTGAGAAAAAAAAAAAAAAACCAAACTACCTTTAGTGATGTATGTCCTTAGCCTTACTGTCTTTTTTATTCATTAGGTGGCATAAATTTGGTCTTAAACATTTATTACTTTTCTCACTCAGGCTTCAGTTGAACAGACCCAAGAGGGAAAGATTAAAACCAGATTTATCCTATAGAAACAGAGGCTTTGTTCTTAAAACAGGAAGTGCTTGAAACTTAAAATATGGGGGACTTACGGCAGAAACTTCTTTCTTTCTGAATTATAAATATAACGTGGAATGTCAAAGGCTCCAATAATGTTGAAAACGTTTTCTCTGAAATAAGAACAGTTACAACATTAACTGAATGTCACCTTCCAACCAAAACCATTCTGTGATTCCATGAAGTGCATGAAACAAACTAACAAATATGTTGGCTAAAGTGACATTTGTTTTGTTCCCTATCTTCTCTTTCTATTTTCTAGTCTACTTTCTCCTGTATCTTGTAGTTAAATAATTTAAAAGACTTGTCCTTGTGATCTGTAGAGATTTTCCCTTCAGGACTCTGCACTGAGAATCTAGACATATGGATTTCTCTTCATTTCTGGAGCACAAAACCCCCCTACATTAAGTATAAAAAAGCACCACAAAGAAAAGTCACACTTAAACCATCTGCATCATAAAGATTCCAAGGCAAGGAGCGAAGTTAAACCCAAATTTTCTCCATCCTGAGAGGCTGTGGGATGACAGGATCTAATTGACATGCCCAGCAAACCATCTCTTTTCATGCTTTGCATCACGATGGGAACACAAAAGGAAACACATCCATCAGGATCACAAAGTTCTCAGAAACTCCAGTAATTGCTCCACACTGTGCTATCACAGAAGGGAAATCAATCAGGGCTTCAAAAAACTAAACAAAAAAGCAGGAACAGGCACCCCACAGGAAAACTTTTCCAAAGTGCTTTCAGAAAAGAAAGGAACAAAAGCAACTTGAGATAACTTTCATGTAGAGCAAAGCAAATAAAGCATGGCCAGAAGTGTTGGTTAATATTCCACCTGCAGCACACCCAACACACAACACCAGCAGCTGAATTCCAGAATTCCAGATTCTCTTCAGGGCCCCATGGAGGCCCAGCCATGAGAACAAACGCTCCAAGGAGCAGCCTGGTGAAGCCTTGTGAAACCTGCCCTGGAGCAGAGGCTGGGCAGAGTCACAGCATAAAACAGGGATTTATGAAAAGGATCTCCTGCATGGATCCACCTTGGGCAGCACCAGAGCCCAGCCAGGGCTGCACCCAAATGACCCAAAATGGTCCCAAAATGCACGAGCGCTCCCGGGGGCTCTCCCTGGGATCAGTTCTGCTCCATTGGCACCTTGGAGTTCATTGTCCCATTCCAGCTTTAGCCCAGGCAGTCCCACCCTGCTTGTTTTTCTCTCTCCAGCCCACGGTGTTTGTGCTCCTGGGCTGAGATTTGGATCATTTGTCCTTGGTGCCCAGCTGGAGCAGGAATTGTTTTGTCTCCCTGCTCTGTGCAGAGAGCTCAGCATCCCCTGGTATGGAGCCCAGACCCACACACTAAAGCAGCACAGAGTGTGAAATATAGAAAAGCTCCAACCTGAGGCATCACCATAAACACTTGGTTTTAACCATTTGAAGCATTTATTCCCTAGGATAAAATGGTCTTTACAAACTGAAAAAGATCCCCCATGTTTGCTGCAAGCTCAGTTCATCCTGCACGTGTCAGTGTGTGTTAATAAAGCTTTTTAAACCTGGAAATATTTGGGGCTTTTTCTATCTCATTCCTTCTGATTACTAATGATTTCTGGAGTAAAGCAGTGACTCTCCTCCAGCACCGAGCTGCTCTTTCTTTTCTTCACTTTTGGGGCTTTTAATACTCAAAGGCTTTTTTAAAACACATCAGCCAGGATTTGAAGATGTCACAATTATTTCAGCTTTAGCCCAGGCAGTCCCACCCTGCTTGTTTTTCTCTCTCCAGCCCACGGGGTTTGTGCTCCTGGGCTGAGATTTGGATCATTTGTCCTTGGTGCCCAGCTGGAGCAGGAATTGTTTTGTCTCCCTGCTCTGTGCAGAGAGCTCAGCATCCCCTCATATGAAGCTCAGAACTGCACACTAAGGCAGCACAGAATGTAAAAAATACAAAAGCCAAAACCTGAGGCATCACTGGTGCAAAGGCAGCAGCAGGAAGGCAAAAGCACAGAGCAATGACTGCAGACAAGGGCTGGCATTCCTTTCCCCAGGAGGAACAAGGAAATGACAGCAGCTCCCAGAAGTTCCCATAAAATTTAATAATGTCACCCTACATGGCCTCATCCGGGGCCCGGCTGCATTCCTGGACAGCTGCTTCCACCAAGGGCTGCTCAATCATGTTGGATGACACTGGAAAGAAAAATCCCAAGGATTACACCTGCAGCAAGGAAGGAAGTGAATGTCCAATATTTCACTGCATTAAATGGCTGAGTCTCCTTATTGGAATACACACAAATAATTAATGTTTTCTGTAATGACACACAGATGGATCACTTAATATTGCCACCAAAAGGACACATTCCTTGGGAAAAAAATACACTGTGCCCACCCTGAATTCCCCAAACATGGAGAACAAGACAATTATAGTTTGTGCAGAGCTGCCAAATATATCACAAATGTGTTAGAGCTGAGCCTTCACATTCTGGAGGTTAATTTGGTTCCAGAACATTATCACAAGGATTGCTGTCTTAAGTATTCCAACACAATTCTGGAGATGGGCACATTGCTGTTTTCATGGATTTAAACTGATAATTGAAATTAGTTTGAAGGCCTCCCCACCCTAACAGGTTCAAAATATTCCATCAAAATATTACTTAAAATATTCCTTCAAAACATTCCATCTAACCCTGCCCTTTGGCAGCGGGAAGCCATTCCCTGTGTCCAGTCCCTCCATGTGTAAATAGTCTGTCTCCACTTTTTATATTTAAAATTACAGTTTCAGGTACAAAGATGTCCTGACAAACTCTTAATAACTGTCACTGCTACTACTCTTGGAAAAGTCAGGATATTCTGCACTGCCAACTCTTTAATTGGCACAAATGTCTTCTGCTGACATTGCAAACATCAGTGTTTAACCAAAATAAAAGGCCAAAAAATACATTTATCTCAATCAAGTGACGCCTCAGTGACTCTGGTGTAACTGTCTTTGTCTTGATGACATCAGAAATGCCAGGAAAACTGGCTCAAGAAAAATAAATTGTTTACTTACAAGGCTGTTTTTCAACTGCATCGATGACATTTTCAATTATATCCTCAAGTTCTCCCTCACTGGTGGACTGGAAAGTTTCAGTGAGATACTTCAGGGCATCCCTAATCCCAGAGGAGAAAGCACAAAAAGCAATTAATATTCAATAGTTGACACAAACTGTGCTGATTTTGGCAGGTGTGCACATCATCACCACGTGGCTTGTGGTTAAAAAGCAGAAATAATTAGCTCTGCATAACAGCACATGGGTTTAAGTCAAAGAAAAAACCACTGGGATTGAAAATATCAGGGAAAAGATGTGGAGAACCTCAGCTTCACATAAAAAAATCCATGTTAGAAGGGAATTCTGAAGACCCTGTGGTCCAACCTTCTCCTGAAAGCAGGGCTTGGGTTATGCTGTCCTGGGCCCCGTGGAGCCAAGCCTTGAGAACTTCCAGTGAGGGAGATTCCAGCACTTCCCTACTCCATCAACTGCAAAGTTTAATTGCTATTACACTGAAGAATTAAATGTCTCTTGCCCTGTCACTGTGCATCACTGAGAACACTTCTCACTTTTAGGAAGACTGGGATTAACTCCTCAGGACTCTTCCTTTCTTGAGGCTATAAACCCATAATAATAAGCCCAAATCCTTCACATTCTCTCCATGCCATATTTCTCTGACCCTCTAATCACAGAATCCCAGAATGGTTTGGCCGGGAAGGGACCTTAAAGCACATCCCATTCCAACTCCCTGCCCACAGCAGGGACACCACTGTCCCAGGCTGCTCCAAGCCCCAGTGTCCAGCCTGGCCTGGGACACTTCCAGGGATCCAGGGGCAGCCACAGCAAATCTGGGAATTCCACCCCAGTATCTGGGAATTCTCTGGGAATTCCTTCCCAATCTCCCATCCATCCCTGCCCTCTGGCACTGGGAGCTATTCCCTGTGTCCTGTCCCTCCATCCTGTGTTCCCAGTCCCTCTCCAGCTCTCCTGGAGCCCCTTCAGGCCCTGCAAGGGGCTCTGAGCTCTCCTTGGAGCTTCTCCTCTCCAGGGGAACATTCCCAGCTCTCCAGCCTGGCTCCAGAGGGGCTCCAACCCTAGGAGCAGCTCTGTGGCCTCTCTGGACTCGCTCCAGCAGCTCCACATCTCTCATTTTGGACTCCAAATCCATGTGTAACCCTGAAGCTGGGATGTCACCAGAGCAGCTTCCAGCTCTTCCTGGCCTCCAGCCCAGGACCTCAACAGCTCCCACAGGACCTGCTCCAGTTTATCAATATATTTGAAATAGAAGTTATTTTCATTCTCAATAACACAAGATTTAGAAATCTGGTTTTCCCCTCAACCTTAGACAAGAGTCTTGCATTAAATATAATGATTTTCTTACTAATGTCATCTGCTGGCCAACCAAAGTGGCATTTTGGTGATCAGCCTGACCTTCAAAATGTCTCAGCTCATGGAACTGTGGTGTCAGGAGTTCCGGATTTGTGCTCCTCTCTAATGAAAGTATCAGGGCACTGTCCAAAAGAATCACATTCCAACCACAACAGAAATAGAACTTAACGGATATTAACACACACGAGAAAGAAAGGGAAAGTAAGAACGATGGGAGACCCAGTCTCTTGTAAATCATGACACCTTCCACTGCAAGCAGGAATCCCTTTTAATTGACCTTAGCATCTCTAAATAACACATCCCATTATATTTGGAAATACACCATTCCTGCCTTTGGAAACGCCATCCCTCCCTCTAGCAAAGAATGCTGAGCACAAGACTGTCAAGTGGAACTCAGATCCCAGAGCTGTCAGGATCCGAGGCTGACAAAAAACTCAACCAAACACCCAATATCAGGGAGGGCTCCAAGGGGAGACCGCGGGCAGCTTTTGGTGGCACCCAGGGTCACGAGAGGGATGGATAAAAGGGGCCTGCAGCAGCAGGACAGGCGGGATGGCTCTGGAGGAGCGGGGGAAGGAGGAAGAGCTGGGAAAGGCAGCCCCACATCCTGAGGAGGCGCCGCGGGGGATGCGGAGCGGCCGCGGCCCCATCGCGCACCGGCGCTGCCCGGCCCGAGGCCCGCCCGGGGCCGGTCCGGAGCGGGTCCGGGTGCGGAGCAGGGTCCGGGACCGGAGCAGGGTTCGGGTTTGGAGCAGGGTCGCGCCCGGCGCTACTCACGGGCGCAGGACGAGCCCCCGCAGGCGGAACGCGGAGCTGAGGCGGCGCCGCAGCCGCTCGGGCTCCATGGCGGCGATGGCGCCAAACGCGCCCGGGCCGCCCCCTCAGGCCGGGCCGGCCCCGCCGCAGGAGGAGCCCGGCACGGCTCGGCTCTGCCCGTGTGGGGAACGGCTTGGGGCAGGGATTGTCCCCTGAGCTGGCTCCACTGGGCACCGCCAGTCCTGGGGGCGGCTCCGGGCCCCTCCTGACAGGAGACATGGAGGGGCTGGAGCGTGTCCAGGGCAGGGAATGGAGCTGGAAGGGGCTGGAGAATCCGTGAGGGAGATGCGAAGGGGCTGGAGAATTCCTGAGGGAGATGGGAAGGGGCTGGAGAGTCCCTGAGGGAGCTGGGAAGGGGCTGGAGCGTTCCTGAGGGAGATGGGAAGGGGCTGGAGAATCCCTGAGGGAGCTGGGAAGGGGCTGGAGAGTTCCTGAGGGAGATGGGAAGGGGATGGAGAGTTCCTGAGGGAGATGGGAAGGGGCTGGAGAATTCCTGAGGGAGCTGGGAAGGGGCTGGAGAATCCCTGAGGGAGCTGGGAAGGAGCTGGAGAGTTCCCGAGGGAGCTGGGAAGGGGCTGGAGAGTCCCTGAGGGAACTGGGAAGGGGCTGGAGAGTTCCTGAGGGAGCTGGGAAGGGGATGGAGAGTTCCTGAGGGAGCTGGGAAGGGGCTGGAGAGTTCCTGAGGGAGCTGGGAAGGGGATGGAGAGTTCCTGAGGGAGCTGGGAAGGGGCTGAGCCTGGAGCAAAGGAGGCTCAGGGGGACCTTGTGGCTCTGCACAGCTCCTGCCAGGAGGGGACAGCCGGGGGGTCGGGCTCTGCTCCAGGGAACAGGGACAGGAGCAGAGGGAACGGCCTCAGGCCGGGCCAGGGGAGGCTCAGGGTGGAATCAGCAGGAATTTCCCCATGGAAAGGGTTGTCCAGACCTGGCACAGGCTTCCAGAGCAGTGGTGGAGTCCCCATCCTTGGAAGGATTTAAACACCATGTGGATGTGGCATATGGGGACGTGCGGGAGTGGCGGCCTTGGCAGACTCCACCTTCATAGAGGGCTTTTCCTACTTAAACAATTCCCTGGTTCTATAAAACAATTGATGTGACTAACACAAGTTACCCAGCACAATTATCCACGGTATCAGTTCCTTTACAGGCATTGTAACTCACAATATTTCTCCCTCCTCTTTCCCTGTAGGCCCAGCACAGGTTCCTCTGCATCTCCAGTACTCCAGAATCTCTCTCACTTCAGATTTTCTTGGCACAAAACATCCATCCACAAACATCTGACCGTGATGTCAGCACAGGTCCTGTGAGCACAGGATGCCCTCCAGGGCTCTTTTTACATAATCACAGCATCCCAGAATGGTTTGGATGGGAAGACACCTTAAAACTCATCTCATCCCATTCCCTGCCACGGCAGGGACACTTTCCACTGTCCCAGGTTGCTCCAAGCCTCATCCAACCTGGCCTTGGACACTTCCAGGACAGCCACAGTTCCAGGATTGTGGAGTAGCTGCCTTCTCTCCAGATGGAAAGCACCTGATACTTCATTCAAACACTCATCCCCATCTCTCAAAGTACAGCTTGATTCCACAGAAGGCTCACAAAGCAACTCTTGAAAGAGTTTCATCTAAAGACTGCAGGGATTTAAAGACAGACAGAAAATGTCAGCTATTTTCTATAGCCCATTCTCAACTGCACAATTTATAATTGCTCCTCATCGGGGAGTGAGCTCATGGGTGAAGCTGCTGCTACTCTCTTCAGACAAAGAGCTGCCATCTGACAGGTCTCAGCTATTTTGGCAGGAAATATGATTCATTTTTTTGTCGCAGGCATGCAGCTAGGTGCAAATTATAAGCCCAATTCTTACATAAGTACCATCATTTGCTAAAATTACTGCTTATTCTCCTTCTAAGAAAACCTGATCCTGCCATTCATCTCCTGTCTCGCCACATGAAGGAAGGTGCACCTTGGAGAAGGGATGTGCCCCTCATCCAAAAATAATTTTCTCTAGAGCCATGACCAACCAGGGAATATAAAGTACACTCCTACAGCATCCTGCTGGATTTGGGGGCTCTCTTAGCTTGCCTGGAGCCTCCCACCAGAGATATAAAAGTATTCCAGCATGAGCTGCAGCCTTGTGTTTCACTGAGCCATCTGCAGCTCTGCAGACCATGCCCAGATCTTTGTCTGTGTCACCTCACGTGGCTTTGCTGGACATCACAGCCCCTGGAGAGAGCCCAGTGCTCCAGGATCAGCCAGCATGGATCTACCTGGATCCATGGAATTGTTTTGTTACACTGACAAACAGCTCATTTCCAAGTCTGCCACTGCTCCACTGGCAAAATCCCATCTCCTGAGACAGCACATTGAAGCTCTACCTGACCTCGAGATCTATAGATAGAGTTTGTCTGCCTCCCATGGCTTTTTTATCTCTTCCAAATGCTGACGCCTGCGTTTTAACCACCATCCCAAAGCCCCATCAGTACCTTGCCTCATTTTAAGAGTTCAGGACAGGCGCTGATCCCTGTGTCACCACTGAGAGAATACCTGGAGCTGTGTCAGGGGAGGTTTGGGTTGGATCTCAGGGAAAGGTTCTTCCCCCAGAGGTGCTGGCACTGCCCAGGGAATGGGCACAGCCCCGAGGCTGCCAGAGCTCCAGGAATTGCCAGGGATGCCCAGGGTGGGATTGTTGGGGGGGTCTGTGCAGGGCCAGGAGCTGCACTGGCTGATCCCTGTGGGTCTCTTCCAATTCAGGAGAACATGTGATTAACATTATCAGTTTATCCATGTGAATAATTAACATTTTCCCTCCTAGATCCACCACAGGAAGTGTACATCCTATTGTCACAAGAAAATCATGACAATTACTTTTTGGTGCCCTCTTATAAGATTCTAAAGTGCACATTTCTCCCAAGTTCTACTCTACTATTTCTGAAGAGTTGTACCTGTTTTATTTTGAATTCCATTAATTCCAGCTGGACACACAGTTCAGCTGGAACTGACTCGGTTGTTGATAAAACAGAGTAAGAACTGGAACTGTCCAAGTGTTTAATTAATATCTGGTACTATTTCATAGCTGCTGCTTCTGGCAGGAGAGTGGCTTGTCTCACCTTCAGAGAGACAGGGAGTCCTTCTGTGCGTGTCTATCACAGAATCCGCAGGATCATGGAATGGTTTGGGGCTGGAAGGGACATTAAAGCCTATCCCACTCCATCGCTGCCATGGCAGGGACACCTTCCATTGTCCCAGGCTGCTCCAAGCCCTGCCCAGCCTGGCCTTGGGCACTGCCAGGGATCCAGGGGCAGCCACAGCTTCCCCGGGAATTCCATTCCAGGGCCTCCCCACCCTCACAGGGAAGAATTCCTTCCCAATCTCCCATCCATCCCTGTCCGCTGGCAGCTTGAAGCCGTTCCCCCTTGTCCATCATTCCATGCCCTTGCCCGGAGCCTTAAACCCCGTCCCGCTTCGGGACCCAGCTCCTCCTTTCCTTCTCGCCCTGCGGTTTGCGTTCAGCTCTCCTATTCCCGGTGCTTCTTTCCTCCTCTCGCGCCCATTATTCACATCCTCCCGCATTATTCACATCCTCCCGCACGGTTTATTCCGCCTCACACCTCAGCCCGGCACTGCTGCCCGGCACCGGGGGCAGCGCGGGGCTCCGTCCGCTCCCACCGCCACGCGCGCCAGGTGCCGCCCCACACTTTAGACCCTCCTCGCTTCCCGTCCGCCCCAGGGGAGCGACCGGCGGCGGAGCCGCAGCTTCACCCGGAGGAGGCGGTGGTGGGACGCGCGCCCTGAGGCGGCCGAGCCGCTTCCTCCTCCTCCTCCCTCCTCTTCCTCCTCCTCCTCCTCCTCTTCCTCCCCCCCCACCAAGATGGCGGCGGACCCCGCGGATCAGTTCGGCGTGGCCGAGGAGCGCAGCGGCCACTGCGCCGTGGTGGACGGCAACTTTCTCTACGTGTGGGGAGGATATGTGGTAAGGCGGGCGGGGGAACCGGGAAGGAGCGGCGGGGGCGGGAGCGGCGGGAGCGGGCGCGGGGAGCGGGGCGGGGGAGGGGGTTCCCCCGCCGGCCCTCAGCCCTCGGCGGGCGCCCGGGGCTGTGGCGCGGGCGCTGATTGGCTGCGGCGGCCGCGCGCCGTTCGAATGGCGGCGGGAGGCGCTGAGGGGACGGCACTGAGGGGACAGCACTGAGGGGATAGCGCTGAGGGGATGGCGCTGAGGGGATGGCGCTGAGGGGATGGCACTGAGGGGATAGTGCTGAGGGGATGGCACTGAGGGGATAGTGCTGAGGGGACGGCACTGAGGGGACGGCACTGAGGAGACGGCGCTGAGGGGATGGCACTGAGGGGATGGCGCTGAGGGGAAAGCACTGAGGGGATGGCGCTGAGGGGAAAGCACTGAGGAGACGGCGCTGAGGGGATGGCACTGAGGGGATGGCGCTGAGGGGAAAGCACTGAGGGGACAGCGCTGAGGGGATTGCCCTGAGGGGACAGCGCTGAGGGGACAGCACTGAGGGGACGGCACTGAGGGGACAGCGCTGAGGGGACAGCGCTGAGGGGACAGCGCTGAGGGGACAGCGCTGAGGGGATTGCCCTGAGGGGACAGCGCTGAGGGGACGGCACTGAGGGGACAGCACTGAGGGGACAGCACTGAGGGGACGGCACTGAGGGGACAGCACTGAGGGGACAGCACTGAGGGGACGGCACTGAGGGGAAAGCACTGAGGGGACGGCACTGAGAGGATGGCGCTGAGGGGACGGCACTGATGGGATGGCACTGAGGGCATGGCGCTGAGGGGACGGCACTGAGAGGATAGCGCTGAGGGGATGGCACTGATGGGACAGCACTGAGAGGATAGCGCTGAGGGGACGGCACTGAGAGGATAGCGCTGAGGGGACAGCACTGAGGGGAAAGCACTGAGGGGATGGCGCTGAGGGGATGGCGCTGAGGGCACTGAGGTCACAGCACTGAAGACATGGCGCTGAGGGGACAACAGTGATGGCATGGCGCTGAGGGGAAAGCACTGAGGAGAGAACACAGGGGATGGCGCTGAAGGGATGGCGGGGCCGCTCCGATCCCCTTGACCCGCCGCCCTCTCCCTGCGCCAT